TATATATATATATATATATACGAGTTTTAGTTTTTAAAAATAAAACTATCATGTTTAATAAATAAATAAAGGTATTATTTTGTAATTTTTATTTCATTTATCATTTGTAACACCATTTTTTCCTTTAATACATGTTTTAATGGTTGTTGTTTGTTGTGGGAAGAAGGTTAGAGATAAGTAACCCTATAATAAAGTTAGTCTTGTGAGGACTAAGGTATAAATAGAAAATTTGAAAATAAAATTTCATATGTTTCAATTTTAATAAAACTAAAGAGATAAACTATAGATAAGGGTTCTTGAATTCTAAGACTTTGTTTCAACTTTTGATCATCCCAAAAATTTGAGATCTTCTTCAAGTTGAAGATTAAAATTAACTTCTTATAGCTAAAAGGAGATTGTTAGAGCAAAGATCTTGAATATCAAAATTTGGTGAGCTAGGTTTTTCAAGAAGGGCGTTGAGGTAGCTCTCTTCTACTTTAATTTCTTCTTCTTGGAAGCAAATTAGAGGTAATAGAAACCTGCTTATTGTTCATATATATTGTATGAATGTGATGTTGTTTGAACTTTGAAGTTGAGTTAATGGCTTGTTGTTAAGGACTTGATGTTTTTTCACATGTTGAGGTTTTGGATCCTGCCTGAGGGAGGATGATTTTGTACTCAAACCTTGGTTGCATGTGTGTTTGATGTGGGTTTTGATGAATTGATGTTGTAAGTAGTGTTTTTATTGTTTAGATTGTATTTTTTGGGACTTGGATGACCTTGCATGTTCTAGGGGTACAAGTTGCTTGCTAAATTTGGAAGGATATCGTTTAGTAGGCCTTAATATGTTTAAGGTCCAAGTGCAATAGTCAGGCTTTAATTTGCTCAATGAAATAAGTCTTGCTTAATGAAAATGATGAAAATAGTGAATTTTAGCTTAGCAAACCAAGGTTTGCTTAACTAAGTAGTTGGGTATTGTTGAAGATCTTTAAATTTTTGCTTAGCAAAAATGTTTAACTAAGCGAGTTTTAGCCTTTATGAGTCATTAATTTTCATTTGCTTAGTGAATTTTGGTCTCTATGGTAGACCATCTTTGGATTGCTAAGCGACAACAATTTACTCAATGAACTTTGGCCTCTAGAAAGGACCTAGGTTGTGAGTCACTTAACAAACATGGTTTGCTCAATGATTTTTGGCCCTTGTGTGTGAGCCATTTTAATACACTTAATGAGGGTGGTCTCAATCAATGAATTTATTCCATTATGGTTAGCATGTTGAGGAGGTTTGTTCAACCAAAGGTGGTGGCTCAATGGAACCTTAGTCCCTAACTTTTGGGAAGTTGAGGGTCACTCAATGAGAAGTATTCGTTAAGCAAAATTCTCTCTCTATGGTGGGGCTTATCAAGAAGGGCTCGCTTAGTGAAACTCATATTTTACTAGATGTTGATCTTGTGTGTTGGGTCGGGGAAGGGTTTCAAATAGCCTTGGAGGCTAGGATGCTTGGCTTATTCCTCGTGTCTTGTGTTTAAAGGTATTATGTGTTTGATGAGGTGGATGAGTTAGTGTTCCTAATAGTCTTATAAAGGCTAGGGACGTACAATGTTTGTTTGTGTTTTGATTTAGGGATGTAGGCCTAGTTGTGGCTATATATGTTAATGTTTGTGTGCATGACATGTTGTCAAGAGGTGGATTTAAGGAATGCTCAACCCTTTGTCCATGGTGCTTTGTAAATGATTTCAGTTATTTAAAGTAGAATATTGTGGCTTCTTATAGAAGTTTTTTGTTGATATTGTTCATCAAGAGATGCCTTTAATGGATATTTGGAAGCTTTAAGCCTCATTGTCCAAGTTGTGGACATGGTTCCTTCTAAAGAAATGGTTATTCTTTAAATGTGATTTTTTTTTTTGACAATGGCATAAAGTGAGTTGCTTCATATTTTTCATGAATGGTCGTGTCTAGGTTTGGAACCTTGAGTTGGCATGTAAGTTACGGGTAGTCAGCTCGGTATACACTAAGCTAATGTTGGAAGGGTGCAATGTATCTTGAGGTATACGGCGGGCTAAATCTATTGAGGACTTGGTTTTATATGCCAATGTTATGTTATGTTCATATCCTAGTTACATTATATCTGACGATGATGCAAGACCATTCAATTTATATTGACAATGCCTCGACAATTAAGTTTGTTATTTATATGATAGGATTGCATCAATTACTCGTAGGAGATTTTTGAGTAGTGTGTGCATGATGACTAATAGTGCATTTGAACATGTGATGATGTGTATGCATTTACTTATGATGATGTTATTGGATTTGCATGTGATCTTGGTGATGAGATGGTGTTGTGATGTGGGAGCTTGATTCTTCTTCTTATATGAATTTTTTAATATTCATGTTTGTGCACTTTTGTGTATGATATTTCCTTTGTTATCAAACATATTCAAACTTACCCTTCTATTGTGTGTTTAATTGTTATGATAGTGTTTATTTTAAAACATTATTTTTTCTATTAGTAGAAATAAAGACATTTCGTGTCTTATTTAATAATACACATATTATTAAAATAAAGTATAATAATTATTATTATTAATGAAGTTGATATATTTCATATTTTTATTAAAAAAAATAAAAAATAAGGTTTAATAATAAAAAAGATGTTGGTTTAACTGTATTATAATTTGTTCATAAATTTTAAGATTTTGGATTCAAATCTTGAGTTTAATAAAAATATTAGTTTTTAATAATAAAATAATATAATAGTCTATCAAACATAAAGAATAAGGTGGTTACTAAAAATATATTCTTTTTATATATTAGTATAGATATAATAATAATTTTTTTAAGATTCAAAGACTTTTATCATTTTTATCAATTATTGTTATGCAATTTTTTATTTTAAAAGTTAAAACTGTCAAAAATATTATTTATACAAAAGTAAAAAATCTATTTTGTGTATAGATATAGATATATTTTCTCTTTATTTCTTTTTTATATTTCTTCTAAATTAAATGCTTTTATTTTCAATTTCTTTTTCTGTTTTCTATTTCTCTCTTTTACATTTTTATGAGTTAATTACCTATACATTGTCAGTGTAAGTTTTTACACTGACAACTAATTATATTTTTTTATTGTGTCATGTCATTATAAACACATTTATTTTTAACAGTGACATGACACAATTAAAAGATATAATTGGTTGTCAGTATAAAACATCTTTACAATGACAAATTATAAGTGATTAACTATTTCTATATATATATATTTTAAAACTTTGAAACCATTCATTGGAAAATATGTATAAATGATTACAAGTCATATCACCATCAAATACCAAAAATGGTA